CTGAGATAATTTTCAATTTACTCTGTATATACCTTGTATGTACATGGTTTTTAAAGTGTTTTCTTCATTAGAATGTGAACTTCTTGAGGGAAGGTACAGTATTTTTGCCTTTAGATGCTGCTGATGCATCCTCCTCAAAATAATCTAGTACCTATTGTGTATATCTCTATATATGGACAAGGGACTGGAAGCTTCTTGAGGGTAGTGACTGTTTTTCGTCTTCTCTTTGAATGTCCAGTGACTAACATAGTTCCTGGCATGGTAAGCATTTAAAAAATATATTAGGGGAGAGAAGGAGAACCGGAATAGTTCCTCCTACCTTGACTCCCTGTTCTTCTGCCATTTCAGACTTTTGATAGCAGAGACGGTTGTAGGAGAGGGTTGTGAGTGCTAAGGGACTAAAGGAAGGGAAGGTAGGATTAGAGCTCCTATGAAGAAATTGGTACAGAAAAAGAAGTAAAAAAGTAAAAAAGAGAAAAATAGCAGTGGCATATAAAGGATGCAGTACTTGCTTGGTGGAAAGAACATTGGATTTAGAGTCAAGGATTTTGAATTCTGACTCTGTCTCTAACTGTGTGACCTTGGCAAAAATTACTTAACCTCATTGGGCCTTAGTTTCCTCATGCGTAAAGTGAGGAAGTTGAACTAAATGACCTCTAAGGACCCTACCAGCCTTAAATCTTATGAATCTATAAAAAAAATATGAAGATCATTTTGGAGCCACTGCCATTTATTCAGAAAGCAGGGAGTAAAGGCAGGAATTAAATTCTTCCCAAGAAGAAGTGTAGAGCTGTTTTCTTCATCTTAAGCCCTGTTGCTCCCCTCCCCCCAGCCCAGCCAATGTGATAAGTTTTGAAATTTTATTGATTTTTAGTTCAGCCTTCTTACTCATGTTTGGCAACATGGCATAATAGAGTGCTGGCCATAAGGCCACCAAGACCTGGGTTCATGGGCTGCCTCAGGCATAGACTGGCTGTAGGACCCTGAGTATGTCACTTACCTTCTCAGTGTCTCAGACAACTCTCTAAGACATTAAGTTGCAGAGGAGGTACTGATATACTTTGGTAGTGGAAGTTCCTCTCTCCATAGCTTCCAAAACAATGAAATTTTAGATCTAGTTCTACTCCTATCCTGCTTACTCAATTAGAAATGGAGCTAGCTCAGGGTATGTTCCAGATAAGGACACAGACTTGAAGGTTGGTCTGAAGGTGGTACTTGTTTTGTTCCCCTGGCACTGTTTCTTTCTGGAGAATCTTGTTTTGGGTTAGAAACTTGCATTCTGGGCACACGTTTGGTACCCAGATGGTGCCTACACATACAAAAGCCCAGCACACTGACAGGACCTACAGCTACATGGATAAATATTTTGCTTTCTATTCTGGGTAATATTTGAGTTTTTCTAATTTAATTGCTGTCAAAGGCAGAATGATTGCAGTTCTAAGCCAAGTAAATAATGAGGACCCTCCAATGTGGCTGCTATCACTGCTTCAGGAAATGCTCGCTGGCTGCCTACCAGGAATGTATTTTGATTGGTCCCATTCTTGAGTTGAGTCTCAGGTGGTCTCTTCTGATCTGTACTGAACTTTTCCTAGCCAAGTGAGCTGACTATAGCCAACTCATAACTTGCATCAATTTGAGTTGTTTCTCTTAGGCTGATATTGTTTCATTATCTATGGAACCTTTTAGCATAATGTAGTTTCCCTTGACCATACCTATTTTTACTGTTGCCTTGTTGGAGACCATGATTACTGCTGGCTTTTTTTTAGACTGAGCTGAGACATGATAAATTCTTCTGTAAGCCCTCATTTTAACTCTGCATGCACTTTTATCTTTTAAGTGTGTTTTTTGTATATGGCAAATCTTTGCATTTTACCTTCTAAAACTTTCTGTCACCCTCTTCCTTTTCATAGGTGAGTTTACTCCATTCATATTAATGATTAGGATAGTTAACTTTGTTTTTCCCTTCCTCAAATCCTGTTATGATATATTTTTTTTCATTTTTACTTAAAAAAAGAAAGAAATTAGCAATTGATATCTGCAGTTTATACTGCTTAGAACAACAACTGAGTGCAATCTCCTCTCTATTCCTGTTTCTTTCAGCCTACCCAAGTCCAAGTTACTGGGGCTTCCTCCTTTTAAGATTTCTTTTGTAATCAGCCCTCTGTAATGATGATTTGTTTTGAGTCAATTCTCTCCCCAACTTTTCTCCACCACTTAGATACCTGCCTCAGATACAGACTGGTTGTAGGACCCTGAGTCCCCTCACTTCCCCCCTCACGATCTCAGTTTAATCTCCTGCTTACTTTATTATATTTCTACTACTATAATATTTTTTCTTCCCTCACTTGACCCAGAAAGGGTCATGTTAACAGCATTGCCCACTCTTTCTCTTGCTTTCTTCAGGGTAATTCCACTTTGAACATTCCAATAACCCTTAAATAAGGTTAGAATCCAAAGGGACAATAGGCTTTGATTAAAGACATCTCATGTGCTCTTCATTTTATTTTTGTTTTGTCTTCCCACCAATGTTTCTTGTATTGAATTTTTGAATTCTATATCCATTTCCCCACCTTGCTCTGTTAAGGTTTTCTAGCCTTCTAGTCTAAGACTTTGATTCTCCCTTTGAGCTCTAATTTAACTTCTCATGTCTTCCTTCAATTGTTTTATTAGGCCTTCTGACCATTCTTGAGGTGTTTGTAGCCATTTAATTCTGGTGTTCTAGTTGTGCTTTTTACAGAATCATTCCCTTTATCTGGAGATTTCTCCAGTTTTCTCTTACTCTATAGTAGCTCTTCATTGTTTTGTGAACCAGTCTTTGTTCACTTCTTTAGGCTCTCTGTTTTCGATATGTTCCCATAATTTTCTTTGCAGGGCTTTATTTCCTCCCTTCTCTTCTATTTGTTGTTCTTCTAGTTTACTTTATGTATTTCTAGATGTTCCCAGGTTCTCTTCCCCTCTTCTTGGGCCTTTGAGAGGCTCCCATGAAAATAGATAAGGTGGTCTTCAGGATTAAAATGATGCTGAAAATAATGGAGTTAGAATAATCTAGGCCTGAGCACATCAAATATTATTGTATAGGGGAAGAACTCTGGACTAAGAATTCAGATGATTGAAGGGATCTTAGAGGTCAATTTGTATAATACTACCTTGGCCACCATCTCCCTCAGAGCTAGATGGAGACAGCCTAGGACCCTGAACCCAAGAGCCTTGACAAAACAGTGTCCCCCAAATCACCAGACCTGATTCTGGTTCAGTCATCATCCAGGGAAGCAACTCCTGTGGCAAAGAGGCCAGCCATGCCCATCAGCTATCAACCAGCTGCTACTCACAGGGCAGGCAAGCTAGGGTAACTGAAGCAGCAGGGCACCTTGCTGGGGAGACAGGAGTCAATTTACTCCAAGCACATCAAATCACCACCTTGACCATCATTTCCTCTTAAGACTCTAATGGAGACATCCTAGTACCCTTTATCCAGTCTTTAGAATAGCAATGTTTCTAGACCAGTGCCTGAAGGCATCATTCTAAGAAGCTATCATTCCTCCTACCACGACTGCCTGTTCTGCCATTTCAGACTTGCTATGGAGGTATTATGGTTTTTGTCTTGTTTTGTTTTTCCCCTCCGTAGGACTATGGTGCACCAGAAGGGATTTCTAGCTAGTCATCTGATTTCCAATTAAGATAAATTACTCAAATATATTACATATGACAAAATGAGTCAGATTTCATACACTTGTGGTCTTCTAAGCTACATAGGAAACATGTCAAGAACTTTGTCATTTAGTAATTGTGTGACTATTGGGCAAGTAATTTAATTTCTGTGAGCCTCAGTTTTCTCATCTTTAAAATGGGATCAGTAAAACTGATCCTACTTACCTCACAGGGTTATTATGAAGAAAAAACTCTTTGCAAACTGTGATGCTATATGTAAGAGAATTTTTATGATTATTACTATTATTACTGAATAGCATCAGTTGCCCAGGGGGTAACATTTGGTCCTTGACTGGCTAGTGGATGTTTTTCCAGTGATGATTTATAGTGAGGTGTCAGTTCTATGAGACATTGCTTAAATGACTGAAAATCACCAGTTTCCAAGTTCTACCCCATTGCAAGTAAAGCAGGGGTCATCAGGATTCAATCAGATGCCAAGAGTGATAAATTGAAAATAAGTGGGCTGCACAGTAGATTACTATCAGAATCCATTCAGGTACAAAATTGAATGCTGAAATCCCCTCACCTTTAAAAATGTTACCTTTCCTTCTTCAAAATGTCCTATCATTGAATTTTTAAGACCCCACAGATAAGGTATCAATGGAAATACCTGAAAGACATTGGAGGGAGCAAGGATAAGAATGTATTACCCTTTACTTCCCACTAGAACTTTGTCAAATGTTTTTCTGAAGGGCTTATGAAGGAAAAGATGGATGCACATACTGAAATTCTTGTTATTGTTCTTTTAAAGTAAGACTTGTAAAAAAGTAATTAGTGTGTTAGAGAAAAATCCAAATTCTAGAATATTTTAGAAATTTTGTTACTTGGGGTTACACAACTGCTGACTGATAGAATGTCAGTAGAGGTCTAGGTGGATCCGCTTTAATAAATAAGTCAGAATGATCTATAATTAGCACATCATTTTATGTGAATAATTGCTTTCCAACCATTTTAAAACAGCTGATTTAAAAAATAAACAGTACTTCCTCCCACCCCCAGTTACTCATACTATTTACTTATAAATATTTTTTCATAAATGGCGCAAAACCAAACTCATTCCTAATGGTGAATTATTGGCATTTGGGTTAATGAGGTTGTGTTCTGGTTCTACTCTATTTCTTGTCCTGCTTGCTCCTATAGAGATAAAGCTGCTGACTTCTGTAGCTTGGTAAATCCTATTAGTTCCTATTTGGAAACGAGATCTTGGTCCTGTGGTAATAAAACTGATGATCATAGTCTTCCACTGTGGCTGCTGGGCTATTAACATTTGGGTTCTCACTTCTCTCTGTCAGGAGAAATCGAGCGATGCACCTATATCAAGTACCACTATTCCTCAGCAACCATCCCCAGGAACCTCACCTACAACATCACCAAGACCATCCGCCAGGATGAGTGGCATGCCCTGCGTGAGTACGACCTCTCTCTTCTCTGTAGTGCAGTGATAATGAGGTGACACCAACAGGGGTCTATGATGGAGCTCAGAGTTACAGATGCTTGCCAGCAGCTAGATCTGAGCTGATGGATCTGTTCTCTTGGGCGAATCCTCAAAATACTAGAAGGACCAGAACTGAAGGATGCTTATTCAGAGGACCAATCACATTTTTCTATTAATTGATGTGCTTTGTCCTTCTAAGTGCTGAGGTCTTTCCATTGCTTTGTGTACTTGGGTACGGATGTCTTGTGGATTTGAGGGAGTTGCTTTTCAAAAGAAATATGAATGTTTTAGATAACTTATTCTGTTAACCAACTTGTTGACGGGAGAATCCTACCTCGGTCACTTTACTCCAGCATTTCTCCAAATGACTTGGGAAGTTATTGTGGCAATGCTTTGGTTTCCAAATTGATAAATATGAACACTAAGATTGATTGGATGGGTCTTATGGAGGTGCCTGTATCTTGATAGGATCACCACAGTGGAGGGTCTAGTCCTCAATTTGCAGATCCAGACTGGATTTCAGCAGTTTCCTTGGAGGAAGGTAATTAGGCTCTGGACTATTGACTCACAATAATAACATTCAGACAAGAGTGGCTAGTAAGGCAAAATATCCATTTATTCAGTTACCCTAGAGATAAATGTTGTTTATTGTTCAGTCATTTCAGTTGTTTCTGACTCTTCATGACCCTGTTTTCTTGGCAAAGATATTGGTGCTTTTCCTGCTCATTTTACAAATGAGGAAACTGAGGCAAATAGGGTTGAATGACTTGTCCAGGGCCATATAGCTAGTAAGTGTTTGAGGCTAGATTTGAACTCAGGAAGAACAGTCTTTCTGTCTCCAGGCCCAAAGCTCTATTCACTGTGCCAGCTCTCTGTTCTCTCCCCAACCCTCACCCCGACCCCAAATACCTGCTCCTTAAACACTATTCATGTTCACCGTCCAAACCACCCCCTTCTTGGCACCTGGGAAGATACCCAATAATCAGATTACTTAGTAACATGGAATTGAGGCAAAAGAAGAGTTTGATACCCTTAAGAGATACTTTAATCAGCCTGTGGTAGTGGCATGGTTAGACCTTTAATCTCCTCTATCTTGGTATTTCTGACATACTGAAACCAATTTTCCTCTCTGATGGTGAGGGTACTTTTTCCCCAGTCAATTGCTGGAAGCACACTAACAAATTCTTACCTCTAGGCCACCTCTCAGTTTTCTATTTGCTCTAAGTCCACACCCCTCCTCCAGCCACTTTTATTTCCATGTGTCATTGGATAACCATTCCAACATATTTTCACAAAACATTGAAATGTTTGTGTTTACAATTCAGTTTGCATTTCACATAACCAGAGGGCTCCAAAATATCTCATTAGTTTTTAAAACAGATCATTCTTTCCTGGCCTGAGTCCCATGGTGGTTAGTTAGTCAACAGGCTTTTATTAAGTGCTTATTATGTGCCAGGCACTGTGCTAAGTGCTGGGGATACAAACAGAAACAAAAAGATAGTCCTGGCCCTCAGGCAGTTTAAATTCTAATGAGAGAAGACTACATAGAAAAGGAAGCACTAGAGCAGATTTATTGACCTAATGTGAATCAAAAATTTCCTTTCAACTCTAAATCTAAGATTCTATAAGCTTATGAATATATTGAAGACTGTCCCAAGAGTTGTCAAACCCTACGATTACTACCTTCTTCTGATAATTCACGTGGGCACAGATGAGACTGTTAAAAAGAATCAAGAAACTTAAGATTTGAAGTATTGGGCAGGAAACTTGAGACCTTTGAAAACCAGGTGGTGTTTTCGTTACTAGTGCCATAAGAGGATGCCAAAGTGCCAATTTCAGGTATCTCTTGGCCTAACTGTAACCACCATAAAGATGCATTTTTTTCCCTTGAGACAGGGCAGATAGAGAAAGTCCAGAATGTGGGCATGGAGAGAAATGAGACATGGCTGGCCTGGGTACCCTCCCTCAACAGAGCTTCTGGGAGGAGCCATCCAATCAGAGAGAGGGGTCAAAGGGCAGAGAGTACTTCCAAAATGTGAATTCCAGGGCTAGAGGGCAGCTTCAGGATAAAGAGCTGGGGCATGGTAGAGGAAATTCAGAGTGCAGCTGGAGAGGAGGGAGAATCTTTGTCCTGTCATCTGTCTAATCACCTCTTAATGCACTTCATTCCCTCTCCTTTTCCCCAACTAAGCTCTTTCTCACTTTTTGGCTTTTGGCCCTCTGTCCATGAACCATACTTAAAGGGGAGTGGGAGGGAGGACGACCCAAAAGATGCTATATTTGGCACCAAGAGGCAAGGTTAAATTAATTATCCTTTGGTCTCAGAAAATCCTGCAACTGGATCTTCCCTTTGAATGTCTGGTGATCTACATGATACAATATGTGATGGACTACTTATTCTAAGTCTTGTAGGATCTATCCAACGGGCAGTGCTCTAGAGCCATTTTTACAGTCTTTACTATTGATAGAGTGGCTTTCCAGATATAATAGGCATATGACAGATTCTTGGTGACTACAATCTTCTCAGAATTACCTGTCTTTTCTCTCAGATTCTATTTAATTCTTGGCTCAGCTCTCCTTACCCCCTGACTCATATATTAAAATTAGGGAAAATATGGTAATATTAAGCAGCAGCAGACATAGGTGGTATGAACTTCAGCAGACACAACCTCTTCCTTGGGTCATGGCTTTCCTTAAGTCTCCATATTGCTTCTGTGTTATGGGAATGATGATGATGATGATAACTAACATTTATATAGACCTTATCACGTGCCAGGCACTGTGCTAAGTGCTTTACAATTATTTTCTTATTTGATCCTCATAAGAATCCTGGGAGGTAAGTGCTATTATTATCCTCACTTTATGGATAAGGAAACTAAGGCAAACAGAAGTTAAGTGACTTGCCCAGGGTCACACAGCTAGTAAGTGCCTGAGATCTCAGGTCTTCCTGACACCGGGGCCACTTCTCTATCCACTGCACCACAACCATCTCTTCACAAACCAGCCGTTATCTCAGTGTAGTGGGATTAGAGAGGACTAGATCAGCTGCTCATGACTTAGTCACTCAGATAACCAGGGGCAGGCTTTGGAGTACTCTGCTTACATCTCAGATGGTCACAGGGCCCTCCACTTGCCCATACACTGACTCCTTGTGATATGTTGGATGCTCTGTTTCATTTCAGCTGTTGTAGTACCTCAAAGATACAGGATAGATGACTACCTTTGTTCCCTACTTCTGGGGAAGGGACCACAACTTGGACATCCATGGCCACAGACTATATTAGTCCATATATCTTCCCCTCTGTTAATTATTTCCTATTTACCTTGTATATAGCTTGCTTTGTATATATTTGTTTGTATATTGTTTCACCCATTAGACTGTTAGCTCCTTGAGGGCAGGCACTATCTTTTTTGGCCTCTTTTTGTAACCCTGGTTCTTAGCATAGTGCCTGGCACATAGTAGATGCTTGATAAATGTTAATGATTGATTGATTCTTAGTGTTATTTATTTATTTATTTATATTAATCCTACTCTCACATGCTGTGTGTTTAGAGTCCAAGTTTCCTTGGGCACTAAACACCCAAAGAAGAAAAGGTGAATGAGGTACCATAACAGCTTTCTTTGCTCATAGAATAGGGGGAGGGGTAGAGTAAGCTCATTTTCAAGCTAATTCTCAAGGGAAAGAAATGCATCTTTATGGTGGTTACAGTTAGGCCAAGAGATACCTGAAATTGGCACTTTGGCATCCTCTTATGGCCCAATAGTAGTGTTGGGGCTTACTGAGCAGAGTTTTAAATCTGTGATTAGCCTCAGGAATGTTTATAGACATAGATACAAAATTCTTGTTTGGGGAGAAATTGCCTATAAAAATTCAGTGGAGTTAAATTGTTGTCTATTAACTATCATGCAATGAGGTTTGGTGGAAGGATTTAAGACATGGAAAAGAATGTTCAAAGGGCAGCTGTGGGTAGAGTACTGGGCTTAGAATCAGGGAGACTTCATGAGTTTAAATCTGGCCTTAGACACTAATTAGCTGTGTCACCCTGGGCAAGTCACTTAACCCTGTTTGCCTCAGTTCCTTATCTAAAAATGAGTTGGAGAAGGAAATGGCAAACCACTCCAATGTCTTTGCCAAGAAACCCTCTCCAAAATGGAGTCACAAAGAGTCAGATACAACTGAAATGACTGAACAGCAACAAAAATGATTATGATGCGTAACTGGCTCTCTTGACTAATTTTAGGACTCATTTTAGGGTTAGTTCTGAGTACACTTAACATGTTTTCCAAACCAAAAATTGGAACTGGTAAAAAAAAAATACTTTTTTTCCCCCAGTTTTTGATATGTAAATTGATTTATCTGAAAAGCCTCATAAAATGGAAAAATTAAATCCCATTTAGTTGTACATTGAATGTGTCGCCTTTCCTGAAAGAAATGAAATTGTGGGCTTTCTGCTAGAAATGTCTCAGGCCATCAGTCATTTTCACTGCTGTGTTGCCTGTTTCTCCTCCTATGACAAATGAAGCACATGCATATATATGGCACATCTAAGTTATAAACGTGCATATTAGGAGCCAGGCTGCGTGTGTTTTCATGTGTAATCACTGTTTCTCCAGCCTGTGATTACCCACCATTTGTAGCTCTCAATCTTTGATGACGTGTAGATTTTGTCGTCGTTGTTGTATGTGCTGACATGATTCATTCAGTTACTATTTACTGAAATATTGGGATTTCTGGGCTATGTTAATGGTGCTAAGGGTCATTAGGATGGCATTTTCAACTGTTACTGGTTCAGAAAATCCACGCCGTCAGGTCACCATAGTTCTGAGGAAGGGAAGAGGTAGGAGGATGGGAATCTGAGAAAGAAGTCATTGGCTTGCCTGCCCATGGCTTGGAGGAGTGCAGCACGGAGCAATGGCTTGAAGGCCTGGGAATACTTCCCAGTTAGAGGGAGAAAGAATTATTTCTGTGC